CCGCGGGTTCGGCTGCTGCTCCTCCTCCGTCTCCGGTTCTGGGCGTTGGCACCAGCACCAGCGTTGGGTGAGGGCGGGGTGACACCCTGACAGCACGTTCACTGCTACACTCAAGTGTTCCATCACCCTCACACCCTGGTTTCACGGCCACTGATCTGAGATCTGACCTGTAAAAATATACCATATCATCTAAAAACTGGGATTTGTCCATTTTTTTATTTTGTAGAAACCTGGTCATACGGTAGATGGTTCTGGTGAAATACTGGTTTCCTTTGTGAACTGCCCCCTGTGAACACTGGTGTGTGTGTGTTTGCAGCATTATGTTGGCCCGCAAAGGTCTCCTGCCGGACGGCTTCCTACTGACCCGACTGGCAGAGGACCAGAACCAGCCGAACCGCTTTCGCTCCAGGACCCAGAGAGCCCGGTTCATCACCAAGTCCGGGTCCTGTAACGTGGCCCACAAGAACATCAGAGAGCAGGTGACCGGTGTGAGCCGTGAAAGGGTTAGGGTTTAAAAACCACAGTGACATCATGTGTGACAGAAAAAGTTCTGGTTCCTGCTGTGTCTCAGGGTCGGTTCCTGCAGGACGTCTTCACCACCATGGTGGACCTGAAGTGGCAGCACTCACTCCTCATCTTCACCTCAGCGTTCCTCTGTTCCTGGATGCTCTTCGCTATGATCTGGTGGCTCCTAGCGTTTGCACATGGAGACCTGGAACCCCGAGACCCAAACGGAGAACCGGGTCCTGAGCCCTGCGTTACCGCCATCCACTCCTTCACCTCCGCCTTCCTCTTCTCCATTGAAGTCCAGGTAAGGCCTGTGCTGTAGCGCCACCGTGTCCAGCTGAGCTGAAGGTACCAGCTGAGTCTTTTACTGAAGCTGCTGCCCTCTGCAGGTGACTATCGGTTTTGGCGGCAGGATGGTGACGGAGGAATGTCCGGCAGCCATCACTGTGCTGATCATCCAGAACATTCTGGGGCTCATCATCAACGCCGTGATGCTCGGCTGCGTCTTCATGAAGACAGCTCAGGCCAACCGTCGGGCAGAGACGCTCATCTTCTCCAAGAACGCCGTCATCGCTCCTCGCAACAGCCGTCCTACGTTCATGTTCAGGGTTGGAGACCTGAGGAAGAGCATGATCATCTCAGCCACCATCCAGCTGCAGGTTTGAGCAGAACCACACAGGACCTGAACCACGAGGACAGGGTCTGAGAGACAGAATTGTTCTCTTCTGTCCAGGTGATTCGACGGACGCTGACGGCCGAGGGCGAGGTCATCCCCGTGTGTCAGCTGGACATACAGGTCGAGAACCCTCTGAGGAGCAACGGCATCTTCCTGGTGTCTCCTCTGATCATCAGCCACACCATGGAGAGAGGAAGTCCTCTGTACGAGCTCTCCGCCAACTCACTGGCCAACGAGGACCTGGAGATCCTCGTCATCCTGGAGGGTCAGGAACCACACCCACCTGGGTTCTGAGTTCCTCTGACTCTGTGGACTTCATTGATCTTCTCTGTTCTTCTGTCAGGTGTGGTGGAGACCACAGGGATCACCATGCAGGCCCGCACCTCCTACACCCCGGAGGAGATCCTGTGGGGGAGGCGCTTTGTCTCCATCATCACCGAAGAGGACGGTCGCTACTGTGTGGACTACTCCAAGTTCGGAAACACGGTTCCTGTCAGGATGTCGTCTCTCAGCGCCAAGGAGCTGGACCAGACAAAAGGAGTCCAGCAGGGGTCGTCAGAGAGCCAGCTGCAGGGTTGGGGTTTAGTCCGAGCTGGAAGAGGAGGTTTCCGCAGAGGAGGCCGGACCTGTGATAGCTCCGCCCCTCATCCCTGGTACGCCAAATCAGATGAAGCGGAAAAGGTGTCGGAGCAGAACGGTCAGAAGAAGACAGTGCAGCTGGAGGTGATTGGACACCAGACAGACGGACTGGGGGACGACAGCCAGTGACACAGGAAACAAAGACAGACGGTCACGTCACAGGATGTGACCTCATGGTGTCCCCCACCCACCCTCGCAAGCTGGAGTCGCTCCCAGAGGTCATCAAGTGAGTCTAGGACCAGAATCTCTGAGAAATCAGAACGAAAACCAGCTCCACCTGGACCATTCACGATGACCAGGAGACAGTGACCAGGTCAGTCTGGTCAGTGAACACGTCTGTGGTTTTCTTCGTTGTATTTATGAATCACTGACTTCTATGGAACAGACAAATATTAAATTAAGTTTTTTATTCTATTCATTCACGTTTGTTTTGTTGACTTAAAAAACATATTTTTTAAAACCTCGCAGATAACATTGGTAAAAACCAGAGGGAAGACAAACAAAACTGAACTTTCAACTAAAAAGTTTTATTGTGTCTGGAGCTGAGGTTGGGCTGACATCACTGCAGCGACAACACGCAGGTCCTTCAATGCAAACAATAGCTGTTAATGCTAACGTTAGGTCTCAGCTAACAAAATAAACTGAAGCTTAACTTTAAACTTTGAGCTAATCACAGGGAGCTAATCACAGGGAGCTAATCACAGGGAGCTAATCACGGGGAGTTAATCATGGGGAGTTAATCAAATGTGAAGTGATGTATGACGCCAGTGCTGCTGCAGGTGAACGACGGAACTCAATGGTGATATACTGATTCTGGGTTTTCTTCATTTGCCATAATTCTGAGAGTCACAACACCTTTAAATCCAAGACCAAATAACACTCAGCAGCGCCCCCAGCAGCACCAGGATGGGTGTGGTCATTTTGAGGGCGTGGCCGGAGTTGCAGAGGTTTGTCTGGCAGCAGCTGAACTTGAACCCGGAGAAAGTTGGAAACTTGATAGAGAGGAGGTCGAAGTTGCAGTCTGAATACTTGATACACTGACGAACAATATTTTCTCCTAGAGAACAGGAACAGAGACCAGGAACAATCACAGAAGGAACCTCTGAGAAAATCTGGTCGGAACGGATCTGGATCAAGTCAGTCCAGAGTCTGGGATCTATAAAAACACAGTTCTGTTCCTGGGTTTTTTAAAGACTACAGATAATTTAGATAAAATTCCAGACAAATCAGGAAGCTGTGTGTCATAGGCTCTGCCTCTGTCTTTCTTGTATGGTGGTTCCTGGTATTGTTATTAGTTCCTCGTACTACAAGTTCCATTTCCAAATATTTGCTACTCACAAATACTTCATCTGTACCTGAACCTTTATAGAGAAACACGGTAAAAATACTTTGATTTAATTATTTTAAAATGCCATACATCTAGAAACTAATGTGCAACAGAGTTAGAGTCAGAGGTCAAAGGGCAAGTATAAATCTCGGATGTTCTTGCAATCATGACTGAGAGCGAGTCAGGTCCAGATGAAGACTAACTTCAGTTTAGGAGATGAAATGGAAACATATTTGTGGGGTCAGATGGGTTTTCACACCTGTATCTTCTCAGACACTCACCTGCAGTCAGAGACAGGCAGGCGTCCTCAGTGGTGCACTCCTTGGTGTTCTCACAGTTCCTGTTTAAGCAGTCGTAGCACTTGAGACTGGATCCTGGACCAGAACAAAGAACATTTCTATGAAGTCGTGGAACAACACAGTAACAGTGTAGTGATGGAGGCAGTAGTCGACAGTCTGGAGGAGAGAACTGATGATGATGATGATGAAATGATTTTTTTTTTATTTTCTTTATGGACTTTGGTCTGAGCCTCCCAGGAGAAACGTGCAAACCAGTCACAGGGCACAGGTGTAGTAATTAGTAATTAGTAATTATTCTGCAGTTATTTTATTTTTGTTGTTTGTTTTAAGGTTCATGTGTCCATTCTCAGCCCCCACACCAGAGTTTGTTTTCTCAACATAACTAGAACACAGTGACACAGTCTGATCTGTGTGTGTGTGTGTGTGTGTTCTGGTCCACTCACCCAGGTGGAACCTCCCACAGCAGATCAGCAGGGAGACAGCGCTTCATCATGTCTCCGATCAGTCTGGAGGAGAGAACTGATGATGATGATGAAATTTTTTTTTCTCTAATTATTTAAATCAATATTAACAAGTGAACTAGTAAGTTCTATCGTTGGGTAAAAATTAACCTAGTGATAAAACTTTACCCCAGTGGGGTAAGCAGTGGACCAGCAGCAGTACTGTGAGAGCTAAAATGACTGATGTTATCTATAGATCTTGGTCTGAACTATAATAACTAATTTCCTCTCTTCTTTACTTCCTTATTCAGTCAGGTATTTTTCTTGAGAATGAATGAACACATCGTTGTGTCATTGTGTTTCTGGTAACAACCAACCAGTCAGTGGTTGAGTCACACCTGACTCAAGACGGCTTCAAGTTCAAAAGGTTTCATTGGTCAATACGAACTGACCGTTAGCACTGTTAACATTTCGACGCTGACAGGTTTGTCGGGGACAATATTTCGTTAACCAGCGCCATGTTTTGCGCCCTGAAATACTACGGTTATGTTTACGTTTACCCAGACAGCACTGTGGCTCCAGGAGTTGGAAACTAAATACCTTCTTGTCCATTTAAGTGTTAACCGTAGTACGTGCAGTATGGGAGCAGTCGATGTTACAATAAATGTAAATACCACGTGACAATTTTCGCTACGACACAACATTGGCATGAATCCGTACAGCCCGTGAAGGCAACACCAGCCCAACCCGCTGCTGATGACAGTGGAATTCGGCTGTTTTTCTCTTTTCTTACCTGTTTGTTGGTCACTTTATCACACCGCTGTTTAAACGAATGAATTATTCGTCTTTGAAATTAACTGTGATAACAAAAGACACAAACGTCAACAGTTAAGACTTGTCAACTAAGAAGCTCTAGAACGATTAAGACGGACCTTAAACACAAACCTCCGGAACGGATATAATCCAGTTTATGTCAGGCGAAGTCTTCGGCAGCAACTGAAATATTAGGCAGGAAGACACTGCCCTGCTTTTGGCACAACCCTATCCGCTCTCCACCCACAGCCGTAATTTTATTTTCATTAGCACGTAAAAAAAACAAAAACAAAGGATTTTTCGGTGACGTCATGCCGTTGGGAGCCATGGGAACTGTGGTCCAGGTCGCTCGATAAAAGCTGGTGCGCAAAAACTGTTTAAATTAGACTTTTAACATTATCCATTTATCTCACAAATTTACAACATGTAAAGTGACTTTAAATAAAATCGGATGTGAACAGACTTGGTCGACTACATAAACACCAGTCAGTACAAATAAAACAATGTGGTTGGTCTTTTTATTTCTTTTAATTCTAGAGTCATTTAGCCGAATTATGTTATTCTTTTGCCAACGTTCCATTTGCAATATTTTCCAACGATTAAAAAAGTGAGTTCCATCTCCCGCTGTGAGGAGTTCAACAAAATGACGTGGTAAACAGAAGACGATGACAGACGAAAGCGAGAAAATATTTTAATCTGAAGATATGTATTAACACGGAGCTACAGTAGAAAAGGGAGATTTAAAAACAAACACGTACAGTTGATCGACCGTCAGTCGTTTACACGAAGTGAGAGTAAAAAAAACTCCAGTAAAAGCTGGTAGAGTAAAACTGACCTGAGTACAGGAACGAGCCTCGAGTAAAAACAAACAGTTAGTGGACGTTAGCTTCTCCAACGTTAACGTTAACAGTCGTGTGTTAGCCTGTTAGTTTGTACCATGTTCAGGTCCAACACCACCACACACTCATCAGAGACCCCAGCAGTGCCAGGACCGGTGTTGACATCTGAGCTGCGCTGCTGGAGTTGCACAAGTTGCTGCTGCAGCAGCGATACGTGAAGGCGGAAATGGCCGGAAACATCTGGCTGAGGCGGGAATTATCACAGTCCGTGTACCTGATGCACTGACGGATGGTTTTCCCACCTGGAGGAAAAAACAAGGACAGGAAGTCACGGTACATCCCCCCAGAACTATTCATCTAATCTTAAAGAACATCCTGGCGAATCGGAACTTTATTTTGTAGATTATTTATAATTTCATAAAGTCTTCAGCTATGTTCTACATATAGTACCACGACACCTCGGGTCAAAATGTCGTGGTTGACCGACTTGGGTTTCCGATGATTCAGTCTCACAACATTGAAGTTAACAGGATAACTAAAGTTATTTGAACTGAAACAACAGCATCATCTCCATAGAGTTTGTTTTTGGATGAGCGTTAAGGAGTTGTTTTGGTATAAATTCACCACTGACCTCGCTCACTCAGAGACATGCAGGAGTCCTCGTAGGTACACTCCTGGACGTTCTGACAGCGGCCGGTGTAATCTGAGCACTTGTAGCATCGCAGTCCAGAGCCTGAACAACAACAGACAAAGTGAAAATAAGTGAACAAGCTTGGACCAATCAGGATCGTACATGACAGTGACGCATTTATGGACCTTTGTTCACTTTCTGTGAACGCAGAAGTTGAGCTTTTGTTTTGAACCAGTTTCAGTCCACTCTCCCATCTTTGCCCAGTCAGTCAGAGAGCTCATTCTCATATATATATATATATACACTCACATATATATGTATATATATAGGTGCTATATTCTCTGACCTTTGACCTCATTCAGAGGTCCGAGGTCACCACTGCAGCTAAATCCACTGATTATTTCTATGAACCTCAGGAAGAGCGAGAGGTTCAAGGACTGTAGGTCATACAAACACACTCTGAACTCAGGTGTGTGTGTGTGTGTGTGTGTGTGTGTGTGTTCTGGTCCACTCACCCAGGTGAAACATCCCACAGCAGATGAAGGCAGCGCTTCATCATGTCTCCGATCAGACGGAGGAGAGAACTGATGATGATGATGAGGAGGAGGATGATGAGGAGAAGAGCAGCAGCGTTCAGTGTCTCCGTCCGTCCACAGTCCCTGACCACAGTGACCCGTCCGTCCGTCCAGACTGACAGCAGGTCAGTGAAGGCAGCTCTTTGTTCTGTCCTCCACAAAGACTCCCAGTCTGGACCAATGTCCTCCTCCTCCCACTCCTCCTCCTCCTCCTGGCTGTCCTAACACCACTGAGGGCTGAGTTATGACTGCACAGCGCTCCTCAGGCACTGGTACTGTTTATATAGAGTACCATGCACTGTTGTGTCACACCAGCGTCTGGAGACAAAGACAAACTCAGTGTCTTTATTTGGTGAGGACAGAAGACACAGTGTCGTCCTCTCTTCACATTTGAACTGGATGATTGGACGTCACATGGTACAGGTCACATGGTATAGGTCACTGATGAGTGTTGATGGTTTTAGGTTAATTAACAGAAAACACACTTTTATAAACACTATAATCATCAGTACTTTTGTCCTGTTCTTCTTCTTCGACAGACTCCTGGTTCACACAGTGAGTGTCCAGAACTGATGTGAAGTCATGATATAAACAACAATGATAATGTGTTGAAGCTGAGGGACTTGTGAATTCACCAAGATCACATTTAGTTGAACAGTAAATATGGATGGAACCAAACACTCTAATAGTGGGTCACAAGCAACATTTTTAGGATTATACTGCCACCTACTGTACTAGAGTGTGTAGTGTCATGGTGTGACCAGTGATAACTCAGTTTACTTCTCACACCTTGATGTGAGATTCATTTTTTATTTTAACCAATGAGAATTGTCACAGATATATATTTTTACCTGATTCATCAAAGCCCTGTTGGTAAATGTCAGTCATTACATGACAAACAGACATGTCAGTCTCTCTGTGGTTTGTCCTCAGTCCATGCTGAAAACAGTAAAGGAACTGTGTTCAACAGGAGGCTCCAGGTCCACTTTGATCAACATCGTGTTGGAAAATGAAAATCACGTAAAGTAAAAATGGAAAAAAAAATGTAATTCCCAAAACTGACCTGGTTAATGAGCCGACCTGGAGAAAAGGTTTGGAAATAAATTATCAATAACTCATATCGACACGTCGGCCAATCAGAGCCAGCGTTTGTTCTTGAATTACCTGTGATGGGCGTGTCCAGTAGTGACGTGGCCTGAGGTCCGTCTGGCTCCACTGTGGGCGCCGCAGGCTGAGAATCCAGTGAGACCACGCCCCGACTGTCCCGTCTTCAATGGGACAAAAATGTCTTCATCGTCCTGGTATTTTATTTATTTATTTATCTAGTTAGCTTTTTTAAGCTAACTGTTGAGAAGTGGCCTGTAAAAGATGGATATTTTTGACAACTTTTATAAAGGTTTGATAAGAGTTGAACAGTGTTGTCAATAAAACCACGTTGACTGGACACAGGACACGTCTGTGTGTGTGTTGTGTCCGTCCCAGGGTGAGACAGACACTCCCGTCTCACACACAGCAGCGTCTGTCTCCCTCAGCTCCTCATACGTCATCGTAACACAGCACCACGAAGGACAGAGAAGAAGAACAGGACATGACATGTCTCCTAGTCTGGGCTCTCCTAGTCCTAGTCCAGTCCGAGACCATGTGCTCTCAGTGACTTTGGTAGCACAGCTGAGACCATGTGCTCTCAGTGACTTTGGTGATTGAAGTACAACTCTTGTACTTCATAAACCTCAGTTGAATTTTCTCTGCTAGTACCAGAGCTGCCTCCAAGTTTCCGACTGGTCCTCAGCCCAGCGGGTGTGGACACAGTTGACAGTTGTGTCTCAGTGACCACAGTGGAGTTCTCAGTGACATGAATGATCACATTGTGATGGAAATGTCAGACGATGAGCAGCAGTAGCCAAACTCCTGTCAGTGTTTCTCCGTCCCCGACAAACTCCCTTCCTGTCCTGCAGCGAACGTTCGTTCACTTCACACTGGATCGAAGTTTAGACACAGACTTAGAATCATGAACCAAGTGACTGTGATTTTCCTCAGAAATAAAAGACTTTATTCCGATATTTTACTTTTTAAGATGACACTTTGTAGCTTAGCATAATATCCAGGAAATATGAAGTCTAAACAGAATGACACATAGCTTAGCTTAGCTTAGCATAGAACTGGTTGCAAAGAACCAGCATCGCGGCAGAAACTCAGCAGGAGAACTGGAACTCGAACCAAAAACAACAAACCAACCAAAGCTAACTGAGCTAAACTGTTGACATTCAAAAACACCCGTTTTATGAAACTAGCTGATAGCTTAGCATCTTAACAGTAAATGATGAACACAAGTACAGTCGTCCCTCGCTGTATCGCCGTTCAGCTGTCGCGCCCCAGTTTTTAATAATTTAAATGTATTTTAGTATTGTGTATTTTAGTATTTTTTTGATCTATCGCAGGTTTTTGCGATATATAAAAATTTTACATTTCCAATACTTATTTTCTTGATTTTGCATTTTTTAGCCTATGAAGAAAATAAATAGTAAAAGACATTTTGTAACACTTACGTACAGGGGATTGCAAGAAATAACCTGTATGTACGGGTAAACCAGATTTGTGAAAGTTTTGTAATTTTTTTTGCCATATTTCACGCCCTACAATGCCTTCTAAAGTGTTCATAAAGGCTTGGAACTCATGCGATAAACGAGGGACCACTGTATGTCCATAAAAGCAGGTGTATTTTAAATTGGTTTTGTTTTTTTTTTCATTTTTATGTCAAACTATTCCTTAAATTTTCACCAAGTTTAAATGTGTCTCACAGTCTTAAAAATATCTATATTTTATATTTTCTTTTCTTTTATATACTTCATTCATGCAGATTTAAAATCAGACCGTTGGTAAAAAAAGATTATAGACAGAATAATCCATAAAGAATTAAATTATTTGTCACTGTTCTTCACTTCTTCATACAGTATATACTGTATATATATATATATATATATTTGTATATATATATATATATATATGTGTTATAGTTGTTTTGTATTTTCTTTAGAGTATCTGGTGTATTTGAAGAAGTATTTGAAGAAATACGTCCTTGTTCATTTATCATTTATTTGCAGTCAAACAGATTAGCTTAGCTTAGCTAAGGCTACACCAGTGGTTTTCAAAGTTTAACGCATGCCTCCCATAGGGGGCGCCAGAGCACGCCTTTTGACTCTACTACTGCAGTAGAACAGAGGAAGTACGACCGTAGTAATTTAAAATTTGTTCTGATTTTGGACATTCAGTGTTTTTACATAAGTGTGTTGAGGTTTTCAGTGAGGGAGGTCAAAGGGGGACATGGAGGGGAGGGAGTGAGGGGGGGACACCATGTTAGACCCCAGGGAAGGTTCTGTATTTTGCCTCTTTTGGCCAAAATAAAGAAATGACTGAAGAAAGAACCGTTCTACAGAACCGAGACGCTGCCGACGAGGAGAGAACTTGACCACGGTGAGATTCTGTGAGTCACTTTGAACAGTTCTATGTCGGTTGGAACTGTTTGTCCCATGTGATGTCCCATGAGGAACAGCAAAGGAAAAAACAGCAGAACCAAAGTCTTCCTGTGGTCTTCCTGGACCAGGATCTCCACAAACTCCAGTCCTGCGTGGCTGAGACTTTGACAAAGTGGCTCTCACTGGTCTGGTTTCCTGGTGTTTCCTGGTGTCAGCGACAACAATGGTCCATGTTTTAGGCTGTAGATTACAATGACACTCACAGTCCACACCGTTGTCACTACAGTACTACTGCAGTACAGTACAGTACTATCTATACCCTGAAATATACCTGTCGTTTTCCAGCTGTATTTACAACCATTGTTCAGGATGTCAGTTTCTGGTATAAACCATGAACCTCCTCTACTGGTCCTAGTACATTCATGTAGACACCAACATTTACCACAGGGTGTCACTGTTAGGCGTTATAGTAAAGCTGTTCCCTTCAGCACTCGACCTCCGGCTCAACACATCAGCCGACAGAGACGATCGTCCCGCAGACTTCTCCTCAAACCAACTGTCCAACGCTCGTTTAGCGTCAAAGTTGGAGATGGGCGGTCCGTTGACCCCCACCGTCAGCAGGTCGTTGATCTGCTCCAGCGTCAGGCGGGACCGGTTGTTCTTGTATATCTTCTGCAGTGACCCTCGACCTCTGTCGCAGCAGGTGGTGGACGTAGGTAAGACCCTGATGACCTGGACGGCTC